ATATCTTTTTAAAAGTTACAAATAATAATTATTATTACAGACATTTAATTTTTCAAATTTAAATTATTACTCTTTCCTGTGTTTACCTGTACATTGGTAATTTGTGACTGAAGAATTGGCTGTTATTGATAGATATAATGGATTGCAGAGATGGATTAAACCAGCTTCATTACACGAAAATGTAACAGTATGACTGTCACTACTTATTGATGCACAAGATACACTTGTATCTTCTGTTGCATTAAAATTTATGAAATGTCGCGATGTGCATACTTTAAGATTACCCCAGTCAGAGCCTTCAATCTATATGTAAAGTATATTTATTTATAATATATAAAAATTATTTTCTCTCTATATTATGTGACTAAAACATTGGCTTATGAAAAGAGGTTTACCTTTATCGTAGAAATATGATCGCTATCGCTAGAAAAGAAATAATTCGGATGCAATTTATAAGAAACCATCGTAGCTGGTTCAATATAATCGATAAATGAATTGGAAGATCCAACAACAGAATAATCGGCTCCACATTGTGTATTGATCAAGCGCTGTGGAACTGTGATGACACAATGTGTATGAAAATTATATTTTGCAGAACTCAAAAGAAATATTAAATTATATGACAAATTAGCTCGTATATCTACCTTGCTTTATTCTCAAAATTAAATCAACAATTGTTGAAGCTCCTTGTATATTATCTACAGCAGTGGTGGAAAATAAATCACTTATTGGATTGCTTACAAAATCTGACCATCTGTCCTTTGATCCATATGTCAATATAAGTAATACAGTATCTGCAATAATATACCAATCGCAAAGAATTTATGTAATTCTTTAAATTTGTAATGATTTAAAAAGTGACTAGAATATATCGGTGAATTAAGGTCCATAAAATTAATTTTAGCTTGTAATTTTCATAAGAATCAAAGATTCACCTGGTACTTGCTCACGCATTTTTTTTATCTGTTCTATACAGTATTCCTTGTCGGTATCAGGAACAGATGATTGATATGGAATAATCAAAACTACATTAGATTTTGCTTGTCCAAGACCGTAACGTTCATCGTCTAATTTCTTTTTTTGTAAAGAAATTAATTTCTCTAATAATTTAGCGAGATCGAAGGGCGAGCTACTGCTACTAACTGAACAAAAGAAAAAAGAGTTTCAATTTACATTCAATATCTAATATCATTATTAAAATATATACATACCATTTTTATAATTTGTTATATTATAATAACCAAAATCTAAAATACTGTTAGTAGTATTGATTATGATACTACTATCATGACCATTAATAATTGTATATTGACTATTGTATCGATTTATTTCCATTTTATCCAATATATTTCTATAAAAAAGGATAAAATGTATATATTTATACATTGTAATTATAATTCCTTTTTATGGCAATTTATATTTGTATATAAATTATATTTACGCAATGATTGGTTGTATCAAATCAAAAGGCCATGTTGTATCAATGATAATTGTTAGATCAACAGCGATTTGAATAACATTATTGAAACTTCCTGTTTCTGCATCTTGACAAGATGGATCTTTATTCATTGAAGAATCTTGAAAAATTATATGCCAATTTACATCTTATTGTTCTACGAAAGTATTTAATTTCCCCAAATAAGAGATAACGCAATACTTACGAATATACTGAGATAGTTCGTTCGCCGCTTGCATTGCAAATCTTTTGGTTACATCATCGTCCATCGTAGCCTTATGTAAATATTCCTCTAAGACTAACGAAGCACTATATGTCTATAAATGAAGCACAAGTTTGTTAACATATATTATATATTTGAATCATTTATGATACTAATAATTATTAAAAGTTATTGCATATCCATATAGGCGCTCTATATTTTTTATGATTTTTCCTTATTATATATATATAATTAACTTTATAGTTTATACATAATAATACTACATAATATATATTACCTGCATACTTAATGTCGAATTTTCTGTAAGTGTTGTAAACAACGTTTTTCGATTACATGCTCTAATTGAAGGATTGAGCAATCCGCGGGTACTATAGTACATATTTAAAATCTGTGATAGTTTTAAAGTAGGTATTTTCGAATATAAAGATTCAATTTCGTTAGCGAGAATTAATCCATCAAGATCTCCTCTGATTTCCGCTGTAGTAAATTGCAATTTTTCATTAGAGTTAAGAAAATACCAACGAGGCACAAATGATGAATTCCAATTTCCATTTACACCCACGCTAAGTTTCTCATTTGTAGGACCTTGTATTAAAGTAACTTCTGCCAAGTCACCTGTATAATATATATATATAAACTTTTTATAATGTTTTCATCAAATATATTCAATAATAATAAAAGAATTAGTAAAGTGCGACAATTTCAAAGATATACGAGATCAGGCTTATAATTATAATCAATTTAATTCTAAGTTTCTATTGCTATTCTCTTGAAAATCTCTACATATTACAAGCACAGAACATGCGAGAAAAGATAAATGTATCACCAGCCAAGGTTGCAATCCATCTATTATCCAATAATAATTTTGACAGATTTGCTTTTCTCTCTGGTGATTCATTGGGAAACACTTTTGAGAGCTCCACTATTTCAGGTTGCAATCCAGCAGCTATACCAGCGATTAGTGGCCCAGCAGAAACTGGACCCCAGCTATAAAAATATGTTTAAAACGCTGTGTTACTAGATTAAAAATTATATAATAGATTTTCTCATTTTGTGAAAATGAATGTGTCATCCTATTATGCACATAAAAAAATTAGAATATAAAATCTATATACTTAGTTTTTATAACACCATTTTCCACAGGACATCTGCTTCTTGGCGGGAATGCGAGAAGCCGGGCATTTTTCGGATGATTCGGAGGTAATTCTGGATAAAATGCATTTGGATCAACCGTATCTTCCGTAATCCCATTTTTGTGGTTCGTAATAACACCACTATATGTACAAAAAAAAAAATTTATAAATAAATATGTATGCATATAATTAAACTCTCATTGTATACATGTAATTAACATTATATAATTACTACGCTATTATATTTACATTTGTTCAGGTGTTAAGGTCTCTACTTCATCGGGAATATTGAAGTTTGTATTAATAGAATGATTGTTGTCTACGTTTCTCGCATATCTATACGCGTTGTCAGCATACCTACATACTGTCCCTTCGTCACCTCTTTCAAAGATTTCGATACTGCTGGATAGCATGAAATGAAGAGTACACTGTAAAATAATATATACTCATTAGATAAAAAAGTTATAATAATATAAAATATTATTTTTGGAAATTACACATTTCTTATCTTCTACATCTGAATAGCGAAGTATGAGTTTTTATTAAGCTTACTCTTTCAATATCACTGATTATGTCGTAAGGAAGTACGTAAGGTGCGATTGTCTTTTCCGGTATAAAACGAAGTATTTGCAAATATTTTTGAGCCTGTCCAGCTGCTCTATATGGTAATACACCGGATTGCTGTAGGACGGTTGGATTCTTTTCTATCCCATCTTGGCGAAATCTATGATTTTTTATGAAATATACACCAATGTATTTTAGTAATTTTAGTAAATGTCTTTTTATCACGAGGGAAGGAGGATGTAAATACTTTTTTCTTATTTATAACTTTTTTCTGTCTTTTTTAAATATTATTACAAAAAAAAATTACCTGTGCATAATTCCGATGGTCAAGCTTTGTAAATCCATGTTCAAGTTTTCTGTGTTTTCGATCTTTTCAAGAATTGCAATTAATGTATTTAACGTATGGGGTAATCTATTATCTTTCTCTAAAAGATATTTATTTTCATAACATTCTCGAAGCGTTGATGCAACATTTCGATACGTATCTTGTGCGAAAATGCCTGAAATAATTAGTTTATACGTGAGTATGTGCAGATATGTATCATAAATCGTGGTACAAGCAAAGCAAAGGTAATTCCTCATACAAATGCAAATCGAAAATATTATATACAATTCATCTTTTCAAATATACACTAGGCTTTTTTCGAAAAAATTAACTTTGAAGATCTGTCGAATATGTATGAAATCCTTGTATAAAAAAATATTATTCTATATTTTCAGATTTTCTTGTGCCAGTACAGCAAGACTGATAATTTTCGATACACTCTGTATATGTACATGTATGTTAATTGTGCGTGTATTTAGACACAGAATATCCCGTAATTGATGATACAATTTACGAAGACAATGATTCTATATGAAAAAATGAGTCGAAAATGTAGAATACAATTTTTTCATATACGACGGTTTATCTCCGAGAAAATTTATTTTAAGATTTGAACAAATTAATAACATACATTTGATTTTAATTTTGGATGATCTCTAATTATCTTTAAGCATAAAAAAGCATATTGTGTGTTACCATTTTCACAATTTTTTAAATTAATTTTGTTGAAAACAAAATCTTGTATCAAACAAATCTATTCTACATTTTTAATTTAATTTTTTTATGTAGAGTTACATATTATTTTCCTATCAATTCCGGAGGACACTGTGTGTGTATAAAAAATTATATATAAAATTTTATACACACACACACAGAATATCATCTCATAATAACTTTTTATCATTTTTAACAAACACGCTGTATTAAAATTAATGCATCAGAAATATTTGAAATAATATGTTTCTTACCAGGGAGAAATAGAATAATCCAGGAGTATAATCTAATCATTTTGCGACCGCTAAAAATCGAAGATAAAATGTATTGGATTCTGAATCGTTATTTTTATTTTTATATTAACACAGAGTAAAAGAGAGAGCAAAAAGAATATTACATTTATTTCGAAATAAAAAACTTGTTTAACACTTTTGCTTCTTTTATGTAAGAAAGACACGGTATCCCTTTGGTTTCACTTAACAAGGTACTACACCACACCTTTTCAGAGACATAGGAATACCTACTATCACTATCAGATAAGATACGGTATGTTATGAGTAATTTTCCCCCACTCTTATTTGTAGAAATAATCTTTATTAGAGAATATCCCAATTATTTGATAGATATATATTATATATACGAGATTTTGATATCATTAATTATCATAAAAACAAACTAAAATTATTTCATGTTTTTTCACTTATAGATGACATATATACATATTGCCTCGATATATATATGTATGTCAAGCCAGAAAATTTTTTATTCATAAACTAAATAATTATGATATACATCATTAATAGATAATATTAAACAGATATTTTATTTTGAGATACAATAGTTTATATATATATATAAATATGTTTCTATAAAATATATAAAAGCATTTATAAAAAAATATATAGATTGCGCACGCGGGTAGTCAGTTATCTTATCAGTATCTCAAAGTAGAACATATAATCTTACTATATCTTCATAATGTGAATCATTGGATAGTATACGAGTCAGGTGTAACATGAACGTTGTATTTGCAATGCAAGCTGCAATATTTTATCATTAAGATGGATTTTTTCAAAATTTTACTAATAATATATTACGGTACGTTATAACAAATATCAATGACAATGTTATTCACAAAAATGTATGATTAACAATATAACATAAGTTGACTATATATATATATTTATTTACTTTTACTTATTCTTTTGTTTATTTATTTACTTGTTGGAAGTTTCGACACTTTATATTCGTTACGTTTTCCAGGGATACGTCTAACAGAATCTCAATTTAGAATACCAGATGAACTTAAGGAATGTTACGTGAATAATAATATACAAGATTTCCACCTTCCTCTGAACATACGTGTATTATTAGATATCATTCGTAAAGCAGAAAAATACTTTTATACTACAATGGATATGAGAACAATGTCATCTTCTTTAATGCATAGGTACGTACAAATTTTTAATATATAAGTGAAAATTAAATATTATATTAAAATCTGATATTTAAATATTATAATTATAATTATATTGAAATATGAATTTAACACAAATTTTATAATTTTGCGTGTGTGCGTGCGTGCAGGTCCATAGCGTGTGTATATATGTATACTTCATTTTTTTCTCCTTTCCATACATTAGATTTAAACTTGATGGCATCAAACACTATAAAGATATACAAGAAAAGGATGGAATATTTCCCTTTGGATTTGGACGACAACATATTAAATATAAACTGACAAAAGAAATGATACCAGGAAAACCGCAACTTTTCCCATTTGATACACTTACAGCAATAGAACGATGCACTTTACATTTAGCTATTTCAAATACAATAATGAAAGAAAGTTTACATGGCACAAGTATACTATGTCAAGAAATCGGCCAAAAATTGACAGGTAATGCTTTTTTATTTACGCACAAATTTATATTTATTATAAAAAATATTCCAAATTAAAATAAACTGTATAACTATATGTGATATAGATAGAGCTTTATTTGCTGATCTGGAATGCCCAAAAGAATACGGTATAATCCTTACACCACACGGAACTATTGCCCCAGGTGCTATTATAGCAGCTATCGCTGCTTCTCTTCAGCATCAAAATGTTGAATTAAATCAAACAATTAATATGATGACATCTGGTATTGTATCCACAACTGTTGAAAAATAGAATATATCTTAAGATTTAAATATCTTGTTGTGTAATAAATGATGGAAAATATTTATAAGAATTTAAAGCGTAATCTTGTTTCCACAGAAAGAATTAACACTATATCAGATAATGTGAATCATTTTGAAGAAATTGACTTTATTGTGCCAAGAAATGAAATGATTCACAATAGATCAATGTCATATCTTCTTTTGCTTAATTTGACTATAAAATTAGACAATATATGGCTAGCAACAATAGCAGGTAGAATATTTCAAGTAACGGGATCCATATGTATATCATTTTCTTATCTTGAAATTAAAATCATAAAATAGAATATTATTTTTTTTAGGCGAATTAGCGGAAATGGTAGTATATCAAGGACCTATATTAAACTCTGATATGGAGCTTGGAGCTACCGGATTTTGGAATAATACTATGCGTCCTAATGTTTATTATTTAAATAATAATAATGGCTATTTTGATGCCACTCGTGCTGAGATAGTCGGTGACATTGATGGTAAATATCTGTAATTTTTTTTATTACACAAAAAATGATATAAAATTTCTGTAACTTTTCTGATACTTTAGCTTTTATTGTGTCATACACATACATATATAATTTACATCCTTTCCTGTACGATTCATATATAGGTCTCATCATAGCAAATAAGATGCAAACTTGGGTGGACAACTTTAACAGTCTTCGTTTGAGTCAAATTCTTGATATGTATTATTCAGAGGAAGGTATAACTCTATTTGATGAAAATATTAAAGTTTGTGATAGAAAGAGGGCTTTCTCGTATGCTGTACCAAAGACATTTTTGAATGAACAGGTTTTGTAACATATATATTATGTAATAGAAATATAATATGTGTATAGAAAAAAATTAACACATATAGATTTGTGTACTATATATCATAGATATTATTATATTTTGTAGAACGTAAATGTAATATATATATATAAAAAGTTAATACAAATTAATATATACTTATAACAGACATATGCTGCATCTTACCTCTTGGCCCATCATAATGGTATTATGTTTAAATCTCCAGAAGCTCTTAAACGATTGGTTGATTACGCGGTTACCAAATTCCATATTTATGCAAAAGAACATTTCTTGACAGAATTATTTTGTCGAAATGGGAAACATTATCCGCAAGTAGAAGTATTGATCGTATTTGATGGTTCTTGGACTAAGGAATATACAATGAATTTTATTGCGTAAGTCGAAATCAATGGACTTCATCGCACTGTACAAATTTTAAAACATGGTATATTAAAGACGATATAAATATTAATTAATTAACCAACAGCTCTATTTTTACTTATGCTCCGTTCTTATCAGAACATTAATAGATGACTTAGATATATCAATGTATGGTTCAAAAATGGGAATTCTGCATGCTACATCAGGACAATGGTTGCTTAATATGACAAATAGTCCTAGTCTTGCTTATCACGCTGTATCTAATTTTACAAAGATTTCATGTGAGTTTTATTTGATATATATCATATTAATTACTTTATACGATTAATGTTTTAAAAAATTACATATAGGGCCCACGCATTTGGATTTTGGTACAATATTGAATACAGTATTTATTTATTTGAATGAAACTTGGCAGACAAAATGGCAGCAACATACAATAGGAAATCTTGGTCAAGTGATGCTAATATTGGCTCCATTAACTCATCTGTTTTCAGAAACGGAACAACAGATTATTTTGAAATTATTACGAGAAATTAAGCATCTTTATCCTGGTAATAAAATATTCTTCTCATCAGCTCTGTATCTTTTTAAATTTATGATTTCTTTAAATTTCTACGTGCAAAAAGAAATAAATACATTTTCATGCTTTGAAAAAAATAAATAAATAAAAGGATATAAAAAAGAGAGAGAGAGATGAACTAATATATAATATGGTATATAATTACAGATCTGCACTTTTTATATTATGTATCAGAACAAAATTCTGATTTTTTTCAACCATTTATATTATCAGAGCAAGATCGTTCAATACGTGGTCCTAATATCGATGCTATTATACAATATTTGTCAACAAGTAAGTACCGTAAGCATAATTTATCAAATGAATATTAAAGCATATTTACATATACATATACATATATATATATATACATATACAATCAAACATAGCATATATATATATTACCGTAAGCTCAAATGAATATTAAAGCATATTTACATATACATATACATATATATATATATACATATACAATCAAACATAGCATATATACATATATAT